TTCCGTCCCAAATGTCGTGAATTACCCAAGTATAGTGGTAAGGATGATGATGTGGTAAATCCTAAAGAATTTATTCAAGAAATTGACGATTTTTTTTTTTATGGAGGCTGCTGCTTCTGAAATTACGAAGCTCTCAAATGTGTCTCGACAATTGTTGGGAGACGCACGCGTCTGGTTTAGCGCATATAGTAGTGAATTTAAGGATTATCAAGATTTTAAAGGTAAGTTTTTGAAACATTTTTGGGGAGAGGAGAGACAGAGCAAAGTTCGTTCTTCTCTTTGTGTTCCGTATCAATATAAGCCTGAAATGGGTAGTATGACTGCCTATACTTCCTAAAAAGATTGCACGTTGCCCGTCGTCTGGACGAACGGATCCCTGAAAGATCTCTTATCGGAGATATTGTCGGTCATTTTAATGATGAGGTAAAGTGGGCAGTGACTCACTGCAATGCCACTTCAGTGGATACGGTAATTGAAAAGCTCCAAGCGCTGGATGCATTAAATGCCCCAAGCTGTTCTTCTAGTAATACTTCTAAACCCTCTTATCAGAGACCCAATTATCAGAAACAGATTAACTGCCAACCTGTTAACTTTGAATATAGGGCGGGAAACCAGGGTTGCGATACGCAAAACGTTACAACTTCACGGTTACCCAAAGAAGGTTCTGCCTGCAAACGTTGATGTTGAAGTTCGTTGACGTCTCCGGCAACAACGGAGAATGCGGAAGATGTTCCGCCTGCGTCGGTCCCTGTGCGTACCCACTAATCGACGAGGTAGCCCCGCTGAAAAACCTCCACCCCAGAATGAGATACGTCAAGGATCATTCAAAAGGGAGTCTTTTATACTTGGCCAAGTTCCTTTCGGGACACAAGTGCATACTAGAAACCAAGAACAAGCTGAACAAATGCACAGAATTTGGGTGCGCCAGCTTCTACTCGATTCAGACTTTGATGTGGAGCCTGGGAGTACTTATTGCCAGGAGCGTGGCGTGAATGATCGATATTTCCCCATTTGAAGCTATGGTAAATAATCGATAGTTAAGGTGTTCGTAGCGAACACCCTGTTAATCGATCCTTTTCCATAGGTTTAAATGGTAGATCAATCGATATATCGCAAAGCACGCCACACTGAGAAAAAACTATGGTTTATAAACCTATTAGAGGTATAAATATGGAACACCTATAATAGTCGTAAATAAACTAATGATTCTCGGTCTGTGAACCATACTAAGGTCTCTGTACCTAATTAAGGTACCCCGTACCATAACTAAGGTATATGTGCTATTATTATATGTAGAGGTACTACTATTAGTGGTGTTCCATATTTACCTCTAATAGGTTTATAAGCCATAGTTTTTTCTCAGTGCACGCCACTGCTTATTGCGGCAGAAGTCCTCCAGCCGTCGTTTCGAGCATAGAAATAAGGACATAATGACAGAAGAGTGAAAGACATACCTACGTGAGTTCACCGAAAGTTCCGATGTTATCTACATCGAGGGCCTGAAGGAAAAAATTGGAACTATTTTTTTGCAACAATTTCCGAGTGAGTGCGGTTTGGCTCAACGACAAGTATAAGAAAAACAAGAAAAAGAGCATTATTATGCATTTCCTTTTCCGGTTTTTGGAGAGCGTTGATAACCACGCCACTAGGATATAGGCGCGGCTTCGGTACGGCAGCCTGGAAACCGCTGCATTTGTAGGTTTATATTCTACTTTTTCGCCACTTTAGCATGACCCACATTCAACGTACAAGTGCGAAAAAAAAGAAACCACACTTCACTGTTTTCTCCTTACACCGAATATTTCCTTGACCAACTTTCATCAAACCGTAAATTATCAATGTAACTTCTATTGATTATTTCATGCACGTTGATTAGATGGTCGAGTACTATGGACGGTGGTACCGTAAATGCAGCAGAATTTTAATTAAAAGTTCGATGGGTAATCAAATTCCTTAAATCAAACGCGCATTCGTTAGTGTGTAGGTACAAGAAATTCACTTTGGGAGCGGGGTAGGATAAATAACTTTAATGAATTTGTCGGTGGGTCGAGAATGCTCCGATAATTTGACATTCGAGATTTTTTATTACTTAACGATTATGCAATAGGGTTACTCCTTCCGAAATCTGGTTGAAATCTGGTGCCCCCACCCCCCTCTCCCCTCACATTTGTTGCCGCAGTAAATGTTGACCATACTGCAGATCGGTAGGTATCAATTTCCTCTTGTGGTTACATACCTGAAGGACATACATTTTATTTTTTCAAAGACGACATGCTAACAGAGCTATGATGCTTCGACACCCCCCTCTCCCCCCACAAAATAACGGTGATCGATTCCACGAGAGGACAAAAGATGGTGGACCCTACTTAATTCGTCTATGATTTCGATCAGCATACATATTGCTATACTGATCGATCGATGAGCTCACAGTGACAGCATGGTTTAGAAATACACTTAGCCGCGGTGGATTACATCGTCGTGGGTCAATTTACCGGAGAAAAAATATCTCGTTTAATTCAACAGGGTTTATTGAATTAATAGTGTGTATGCATACAAATAGAGAGGTAGTGCTGACCCCTTTCGACCCTTTCTCCACTCGATAGGATTTACCCCTCCAAAAACCAGGGCTGCCGATTCGTGGCCAACCACGAAACCACGTGCTGTGCTGTGAATGTGAGATTAGATGAGATTAGAAATGTTAAATCTGTAATTATACAATAAGGATAAATTTTTTTTTTTTTTTTGGAATAATACATTAATTCATTAATGGTACCTACATTCAAAATCAAGAGAAAGCAGAAATCTCTTTCAACTTTTGAGTATTGCCAAATTTAGGGATACCTCCTGCATTCCTATCTAAAAGTACCTTGAAATAATGGATTATCCCAAGTGGCATCTAATTGCCAAATGACGTATTGACTTACTAATTATGCCTAACTGAAAATTTTCAGTCGGCAATCAGCAAATTATTTTAAAAGAAATGTACCATCATGAGGTATTTTTGATGTAAAGGGGTTTCTTTGTATTGTCTTATGCAGATATGATTATGGAGAACAAAATAAATAAGAAATAAAAGTGTCCTAAGGTCCTATCTACGTTTTAATGCTATTGTATTCCTAAGGATGGATTCAATTTTATAGACATGCACAGAGTTTTTCATGTTTTTAAGAAAGATAATAACTTCATCATTATTTATTGAGACGGAGACAATGATCACACCCTTTATTCGTATGCAGAATTGCTGATGATGATGCTCCTCGTAGCTTTGAACCAACAACATTGTTAATATTATTTAGGAAATACAGAAAGGTGCTAAGATTGATGTTCAATTCAGGCACGTTTAGATATCATGAAAAACACAACTAAATCTATTCGGATGTCTACAGAATTGTATTACCTATATAATTTGAGTATTTTGTATGAATACTTTAGATTTTCAAGTGCGAAATTAATAAGTGAGTTTTCAATAAAACATTCGACATAATGACCAATTTTATTCGTGCCATTTTGAGATGTCACCATTTAAAATTGAGGAGTGCCGGCGTTCGTGCAAAAAGCGCCAAAAAATCGCGAGTGATATGAATGCGGAGTGAAATTCGGCTACTTTTCGCAATTTAAAACTACAATTTCTGGCTCAGTTGTAAAGCAATGTGTGTACCATTAGTTCCCCTGTGTACAAAAGTGTTATTACAGATGAGCCAGAAATTGTAGTTCTTAATTGCAAAATTAAGTCCAATCAGCACCGTAAAAGCGTATGACAGCACACAAAAATAGTACAGATTCCGCTCCGTAATAGTGTAAGTCACTCCGTAAGGAGCATGGCCTTCGCTCTGCATTCATATCACTCGGGGTTTTCGAGCGCCAAATCGACGATGAAACTGCAGAAATGCGTGTTTAGAAATCTCCACTCCTCTTTCATTTTTAAAAAGGAGGCCGGACTAACATCAAGGCTTGAAATTTACACGGAATATTCTTCATGTACCTAGAGAAGAGGAACCTCCGGAGTTTTTAAGAAATGACGATCAGTAGTTTTCTGTGTAGAAAATAAAGTATAACAGGAAATCTGCGACGCCAGAAACCGAAGTACGCATTTCTACAGTTTTACCATGGATATAGAGACTTCGGAGCGGGATTCACTCCAAAACTATTAACAGTGTACACACGCGGGAGATAATTGACGGAATGTTTCGCTAAAATGAAAATACCCAGCACAGATCAGTCTATAAGCCTGCCGTGCTAAGGAAGAACGCCGCATGAACATTCGAGATTTGCCAAAGCTCCTTCGACAAAACGATTATTTTGGAGAAAAGTCATGCAAATTTTTCCTTGCAATTTTCAGAAACATTAGGTGAAAACGCAAAACAAAATTACCTGAAAAAATGGAAGAAAAATATTCAGGAGTTAACCAGTAAATTCGTGTTTTACCGAGGAAATCTAGCAACGCTTAAAGGTTCATACATTGGAAGAAAAACACATTGGATCCAGAGTCCAGACTCTTAAAAACGTCGACAAGAAAAAATACTCTTGATTCGATCAGAATTAAGCTTAAATCAAGAACCAAGCCTCTTAATTTGAGCAGATTTCCTTTTGATTTAAACTTAAATCTGATTGAATCAAGAGTATTTTTTCTTGTCGATGTTTTTAAGAGTCTGGACTCTAGATCCAATGTGTTTTTTTTTCCAGTGCACCATCAACAAAGCCCAATGACGGATCGAGTTGGCATTTCTTCTAAACTCATCCTGTATTTGGTCACGGTCAACTTCATGTTGCGCTCTCTCGAGCTAACTTCACACAGGCACGTTAAAGTGCAAATTGTTCCAAAATGTTTCGTACTTTTACTCAATAATTAAAACTTTTGCAGTATAAAACTCAATGAGAGTCTGAACTCAAGATCCAATGTGTTCTTTATTTCCAGTGTACGGCATTTTCTCTTAGCACGGCAGAAAAGTGGTTGAGAGCAACTGAAGAAAATCTGCATGAAGAAAAGCGGCGGGTAGACATGACGACTGCATCACTGCGAACAAATCGAGAGGGAGCGGGGTGCGATGCTCAACGGACAATACGCACGATCGGTCATTTACAGGCCGAGATTAAGCGAGCATTTAGCGGCGCAGCCCTGGAGAAGAGCGGGCAACTAAACGGGGAGAAGCACCAGTAATAGACTGTCGGCGTCGGCGCGACGTGTGAACCGCTTCCTCGCGAGGTGCAAGTGCCGACTATGCCCGGAACGTGACATTCGCCGCGCGCGAAATTATGCTCTGAAAATTTAAATATTAATACGTCGAATAATTGTCCGTCGAGGCGCCCCCACGAATTTTCATTTTCGCTCCTCTCAAATGATAATGGGGACCTTGGGAGTCTCCTGGCCCGCGTTCTTTGCTCCAGTGGAAATTTAGGCGTCGGATTCTCCGGTCAACGAATTTTTGTTTCCATTCGGGGGAGCCAACCGAAAGCAGTTCCGCGCGAGCTATGTGCCCGGCAGTTCTCATCGCGGGCAGTTCCATCCAGTGAAAATGTTCGTCAAACTTCAGCGCGGGGTCGTCAACCAAATCGCAGCGGCGTTCACAGGTAACACCGATCACCTGTTTTTCATAATCGAGGGGCTTGGAGGACGAGGCGCATAAGTGCAGTCTCTGCTATTCCGAGAAATACGTGTTTGAAGTTTCGAAATTACACGGATCCTTATGGCGGAAAGAAAGTTCAAATTGACTTTTTGATGCTTAAAATTTTGGAATTCGGGAGCGAATTTTTCACAGGATATGAAATAAGTCTAGTTTTACTTGAAATCATTGATATCTCGATATTTTTGAAAAACGTACTTATGCGCCTTATCCTCCAAGCCCCTCGATTAACCGCACATGGTAGAAGCAGGCAAAAAAGCCCATCGAAATGTCAGTTACGATACAATCATTCAGAATTGCTCTTGCATGGTTAAAAATTTCCGTTTTTAGTGTATCTCTGTGTTACTTTTTTGTGTCGGATCAACCCGAAGGACTTATTTGCACAACACAATTTTGTGTTGAATCACCCCAAAACTTCGTTACTTTGAGACATCGGCACATAAAGAAAGCGTCTGGAGGAAATCATGCACTCTTGTTTTTCTCACCATACTTAGAGGTTGCGACTTGCGAATTAGATTTCCACCGATGCAATCCAGGTTCAATCCTTGCGACTGATGCCGGATTTTTACTGATGTCACAGATTTTCAACCCAAAGATTTAGTCGATTTAACGCAGAGAAAACTAACACACACAAAATTTAACAACAGCTTGTGTTACTTCGTGTTTCACTTCCTATATTAACAAAACATTTCGGTTACTTATTCTTATTGTGTACACTATTAAATCCTTTACTAGCGGGAAAAATTCCGGCAGTGGAAGCCGTACTTACGGACTCGTCCGCGTTCCGGGTTTAAAGCCCGAAAGTTCCAGGCGTAGCGTAGTAGCATCAGGAGCAGTCGAAGCTACGGCTCCCACGCCCGGACTTTTCGGTTTCTAAGCCCAAAACGGATGATATTTTTACTTGTAGAGCCCGTAAAATTTTCATCAGTGTCCCACATATGACAGAGCCAATTTTAGACTAATTTTGAGGTATCGATATTTTGCATATAAAGCCTCATTTAAAAACATTCCTTTCGACCATATTTTATGTTCCTGAGCGACGATGTTTGGAATGAGTGTCAATTAATGATTGATCACGGGACTGGCATTTCAATATTTCGAAAATAATCCGCCCCAGATGAGAAATCTAGTTTTAAAATCAATCAATCGTATACAGAATGCGTGCAGGCAATAAAAAAAGTTGAGGAGCCATTTGTAGGGTGAAGACTTACATTGTTCGTTTCTCTGCTAGGGAAGAGCGAAATGCGAATAAAAAATAGGCTTTCAGAGAAAATTGACTTAAACCTTGGCTCAATTACGAGCCGTCTCATACATCGGTCTAATGATTACCCTCTTTTTTACAAGATTGTTTATCAATTCTTTCATAATTTTTGCATAACATTGTTCGTCCAAATGCGTAGAGTAAGACTTGAAAATAACACGGCATACAGTAAAAGTCCACTTTCCTTTACATTCTTGTGCTGTTTCTTAGCAGGACAGTTCAGTCCATTGCAAAAATCATTTAGAAGTAAAAATGTGTATCAATTTTCAGTTGTCGATAGCTATATGTAGCCGCTTTGGTATATTCAATGTTGGGAAATGTTTCGAGCGCTGAACCGGTATTAACACACTAGAACGTAAAGTTTAAACACTGGAACGAAGTTTGATTCTTTTTGATGTATGTAAAATACGTCGAGCTTTACGGAACATTTCTTGCGGAGAACACTGAGATGGAACTATTCAGGGGACATCGTCAAAGCATTGACCTTTATGGGTGCATTGGAAAAAAAAAAACACATTGGATCTAGAGTCCAGACTCTTAAAAACATCGACAAGAAAAAAACTCTTGATTCAATCGGATTTTTGCTTAAATCAAGAACCAAACCTCTTAATTTGAGCGGATATCCTTTTGATTTAAATTTAAATCTGATTGAATCAAGCGTATTTTTTCTTGTCAATGTTTTCGAGAGTCTGAACTCTAGATCCAAAGTGTTTTTTTTTTTTCCAGTGTGACAAAAGCTAAAAAAATTAGGATATAATTATGTAACGCGTACATATTTTGAAAGTTTCACTCCATATTGTTAGAGAAAGAACGAAGCAAACCATTTTCTGAAAGATTTCACGACTGACATTTCCACATGGAGGGAAATCAGAAAAGTTGGCGATAATTTTAAAAATAGATTATTTAAAATTTTCATCATGTAATATATTAATTTTTCCGCTTCAAAAAGAAAACCTGACAGGAAGTTCGCCATATCGCGCACAGAGAGGCGTGTTACTCAGGTCCGGTTGCATCACCACATCCACGTGGGTAATCGTAGAGCGAGCCAGCTTTCATAAGGCATGTGCGGTTAAATTTTAGATTACATCAAGATACACGCTAACGAATAAACTTAAACCGCATGACAATTAAACCATCATTTCTTTGCATTTGTTACGTGTCTTAAACATTTGGATGTTTCCTCTTTACACTGAAAAAAAACTTCGGTCGTGGAAGCCGCAATTACGGGCTGTATAGACATACCGTCCGTTCCGGGCTCAAAGGCCGAAAATTCCGGCTGCTGGAGCCGGAGCTTCGGCCTCTGAACCCGGAGCAATCGAAGCTACGCCTCCAGCACGGTACGATTGATGCTCCTTCAAAATGCAGATAACTTTTAGATCTGACTGTATTGTAAGTTCTTTTCAAAATGATAAAAATTGGAAAACATTCAGTCAAAGGCTTTTCTTCAATTTTCCATCTTTCAATACTTTTTTAACGGTCAACTTTCATGAAATCGTCTCAAAAGACCGCCGTCTTATCTTTGTGCATTTACGTGGTCTAGATACAGCTTTGTATACCCCGTTGGATTTTTCGTTCCGCGTTGCTTTATAGCACTGCTAATAGCTTTAATTACACACAGACCCGCCGTGGACCGACGTTTTCAAAACCCTTCCATTAAAAAAGAGCATTGCAGAACGATGCGTTTTGATGCAAACGTGTTTCCAATATTAATGCAAAATACTTATAATTTACGGTATGACGATTGATTCTAGGCTGTGCTATTTCACAAGAAAACTAGTTACTAGATATACATGAAACCTGTATTTAGTTGCAAGGTTTTCCTTAAGGAAGTTGTCTGATCTTCACTCAATCAGAGTAAAAGTGGCGAGGGTGATGGATTTCTAATGAGAAGCTCTTAGAAGGCACTAAAAACATTGTGGTCAAACTTCAGAATCTTCATCAGAATTTTGGGCATGAGACAAAGGCCCATGTCTTGAAAAAGAGGGAAACCTTAAAATTATGATTAATTTGCTTATTTACTTTCACTCCCCCCTTCCCCTGGAGAGTGGGATAGGTAGGGAGGGGAAGGGGTCCGGGGTAGGACGGAGTCGGAGATAAAGTTGGATATTGTGAGTGTCTCCTCCACGCGAATACAGCTTTAAGTCACTGAGAGAAAGTTAGGCTCTTTCTTAAAGTAGAGACGCGCATTATATCTCAGCGGTCCACATTTTCAGAATATCATCAATTTATATGTCAGCTTTAAGCTTACTCAGTTTTCAGGTACTCCAAGATCGCGTCCATTCTATCCGTCCGACGATGGCCACACTTTTGAGCCAGCGAGGTACCGAGTAAACAAACATCTCGATTTCCGTATGAGCCACAGAAAGCACAGAGTTAAATGGAGAACAAGGCTCATACGGAAATCGAGATGTTCGTTAACCTCTTGGACTACCACACACTGCAGAGGTACCTCGCCGGCATGTCAGCTCAAAAGTGTGGCCATCGCCGGACGGATAGAATGGACGCCATCTTGGAGAACCCGAGCGACGCGCGTTTAAAGGCCTAGATAATCGCCGTGTGTTGAAAAACGAAAGACAATGGAGAGCCTTGATTTCGATATATATTAATGTCAATGGATCGAAATCCAGGCTCTTCATTGGCTTTTGTCTCTCACTCGCGGCGATTAATCGCCGTGTGTATTTAGGCCTTAAATGGAAGCTCAAAATACGAAAATTTGAAATCGTATTTCGGGGGTAAATATTACTAAAAAAAATTGGGGAAAATTCCTGTGAACTATGTGCACTCTCTAGTTTTCAGAAATGCACGAACAACAAATTACTGTACAAGCTCGTTAGCTTCGATATACACCAAAATGTTTCTTATCTATTCTCTTCCAAACAAGGTGTCGCAAAGGAGGCAGATAGTTGCCTTTCGAAAATGCGCCGTCTCCCTAGGAGGAGACTAGGAAGGGACCAGGACGAGACCTCCCTAGAAAATATTTGGGGGATCAAAAATATGCTACTTCCTTACCACATTTAACAACATCCCTATCGTTTCAAATTTCTATCTCAATCAGGAAAACAGTTATGGAGATGGTGACTCACTTTACGGTGACCCAGTATAATAACTTGATAATAAGAGCAGTAGCCGCGGAAGGCTACTTTGAATTAATTATTGCTCAAACTGTAAGGTTATGGAAAAAAGTTCAGTCCGCTTTTAAAGCAATTATTGTAAATTTGTACTTGGGGTGCGCTTGCATTCCCATGGCTAGAATTACAAAGACCATGGCTGCCTGTCCCTCTTAGTTCCATCTATGATGAAAGTCTTCAGTTTCGCGCAGTTCTTCTTGCGTTCGTGATGACGTCAACCAATATAGACGCACATAAAATATAGAGAATCACGTTGCCTCACTGCTACTTTTTCAGATGAGTAGATTCATGTTTTCCTTGTGACCATTTCAGCCACTGCAAAGCACATGTTTTAGATGATGTTTTTCCGATTCCCATCAACGTGATAAAATAATTTATAAGCTTGCACGTACACATAATCAAGAGTGCACGGGAATCTTGTGCTATCTCAAAAGTTAAATTTTATTCTAGTTTCATCAATAAAAATCAACGTGACAATTATGAATCTTAGAATTCATACTGCCCTCTCTGCGTCAGTTATTATCCTCGAAGAAACATCGATTAATGTAGTATCGGATA